AAAGAAAAAGAGAAAGGATAAGAGGGGTGGCCAGCCCGACAACAAGCCAAAAGAAAAACCAAACCAGAAAAGGGAATACAAGAGGAAGCTGCCAAGAAGCAAAACTAAAAAGGATAAACTGCCAGATACAAATTACTCCGTATAAATGAGTAGCTGGATATGCACCCATCCAACTGCAACCAATTCGCCATGTGCATCCATTCACACCTTGTGTAGTTTATAATTATACCTAAAGATCCCACCAAAAGTACTGTCCCTTCAACATTTTTTGCAGTCTATAAAGGAAAAAGTCCAAAAACTTGAAAGCAAAGCTGGGACCTTGCTAGTAGAAGTGATGAACGTTGCTGCAGAAATTAAGCAGCACCTTTAGTAACATTTTATGTAGAAACAAGCTCCTGTTTATTGTTGGATTAACTGCTCCAACTCTGAAGCCCATTCTCTAACCAGAACCGTTAGGCACACTTTGAGACAGAACGTCTTAGCTTCAAATAAACCTTGAAAACCCAATCTCTAAACCCCTGAAATGGTGCAACAGTAACCAGCTACATGTGACCCTCCCCTGAGCTACTTAAGACAGAAAAAAGTTAAAGCAAATACCAAGGACTTCTTTTTCCTTTCCCCTTGAATGCATAAATGAAATTAGACAATAGGTTCGAAACATTAACCAATTGAAGTTTGTGACTCTTCAGCCTGCTCCCCCGTTAGAAAATCTGCCACAAGCCTTTCATCAGCTTTGGAACAAGAAATGAATGCTGGGTATTTAGAATCTTCGAATTGGACAAGGGTCACTTTTTCCATGCTTTTCACCGTCTCTCGTGTTGCTCTATGTGTAACATGCAGCCCCATGACCAAATACCCAGCTATATCAAGAGGAGACTTCAAAATCACCATTATTCCATGCAACCCTTTACAAGCCTTTAGCAAGGGCATGCCAAAAAAAAATGGCAGTTCCCAAGGAGAACACCTTCCATGTTAACCATTCAAAAGCCTTTAAAAAAAACCCAAGTGAACACCAGTAGCATTCAAGGCAACCAATAAGATAAAACAAAGCAATGACCAGAACATAACAGAGACAAAACCAAGCCAAGAACAAGAGCATGAATCTAAACTAGAGTAACCTGCAGTGTAGTCTCCTAACACAGCTATGCTAGCACACCTGGGAATGCAAATATCACTAAAACTGCAGGACAATCAATAAGCATATTCAATCTCATCCTCAAAACCGTAGTCGGAGAGATGAGAGTGCTTCTTTTTCTTCTTCATCTTCTTCTTTTGAGTTTTGGTTAGAGGTTTGCTAATCGGTTTAGGATCTTCGATCTTGTGAGGACAACAAAGTTTGAAGAATTTGATAACCTCGACTTCATGTGATTCTTGGGGATCCAACAAGTCTTCTTCTTCTATCCACCCAATAGGATTAAGTTTCCTTCCTTGCTCAAGGATTTTAGCCTTACTCCTCGTAACAATTTGTGACGGTGAGTACGTCCTTCTGCCCTTTAGTTCCTTCTATGAACACAAAATCCTCCCCATCGGAGTGGGTATAGAGAATGGGTCCATCCCTATCCTTAGCGTGGTCTTCAACTGCGTTGAGGGAAAGAATCAAGTTATGACCATTTAGATTTGAAAAGGGGTCTTCTTCCGGCTCTGTAATAGCTTCTGTCCCTTGTTCTTGAGTGATAAGAGCTGCATATGAGTATAAAGCAGGCACAAAGGCGGGAGCAGAAGGTCTAAGGATTTTCCGAGGTAGAGGTGGGAACCCTTCGGCTTGACTGGTGGATAGGCTATAGTTAGGGGCTACTTCTGGCTGGAAAATAACAAGTTGCTTGTTAGATTCAGCGGAGGTGGGATCTCCAACTAGGCCCTCTGGACTTGAGACATCTCCACTGTGTTGGGTAACAGTCTGCCCTGTGTCTACGGGTGAAACTTCAATTCCAAAGGGGGAATGCTGTAGTGAAACCTGAGGTTCCACTGACACACTCACCGTTGACCTTACCTCAAGATTGGCAGCTCTCTTGGTGAAAATCGAGAGGGCCTTAGTGAAAAGTTTTGGGCCATCAGCAGTTGAGTTGAAGGGGATAATTAGGAATGTACTGCCCTCTCTTCTAATCTCTTGGATTTTCACAAATTAACCCCATTTATTAGAACCAATGGAAAGGTATATGGTTCTATTGTCCTCAAACTTGGATACTGCCCTACAGTTAAGCTTTGAGAAAAACGGAAGAGAGCCCAGGATCCAATTAACCGTGTCCAAATCAAACCAGATGTGATACCTTCTAGCTCCAAAATCAGAAATGCAGAAGTTGTGATTGTAGAAGGAGTAAAAGAGCTCAAATACCTTGTTATGTGTTTGGAATTTGAATCTGATGTTTCGGGTGGTTGCTGTTGAAGACTCTTCAATTCCATTGAAGCAGAGTCTCGAGTCACTGTAGACATACTGGTCATGCTTCTCCTTAGTGAAGGGGTCTTTGAAGGGCCATCTGGGCTTCGGAAAACGGTGAAAGCTGCGTTTCCTTTGCAATCCATCGCATCGGGCATGGGTTCTAGTATATCTTGCACGATTACTATAGTTTGTCCGAAGATTAGGTTTGCCGATGAAAGAAATGGATGGCCGCCGATCTTGATGGGAGGAGTACTGGAGATTACCATTGATTCCTATGTTGCGGCGTCGGTGATGGAAGATGCCAGGAAAACACCGTCCGCCGCTCCTCCTTCTCTCTAGAAACACCATCGATCATATATATATATATATATATATATATATATGTTAGACAAATGTGCAACTCTAGAGGGGGGTGAATAGAGTTGTTTTCAAGAATGTGCGTTTTTCGCGTGTGTGAAATAATAAAATCGTAGGAATAAATAAAGAGAGTAAGGGAAAGAAGAACACCGAGATTTATACTGGTTCACCACCTCGTGGCTAGTCCAGTCCTCCGAGAGACTCTCTCGAAAGTCCTACTAATCTTCAAGCTTCAACGGGTGCTTGAAAAACTTGTACAACTTGAGAACTTGAATCACACAAGCCTCACTTTCTTACAACAACAAGACTTGAGTCACACAAGTCTTAAGAACAACACTCAAATGAGATTGAGTTTACAACACAAAAATGAAAGCTCACACAATTGAGCAAAGTAGTGTTTAAGAATTAAAGCTCTATGGATGACAACTTCTTTAGCACTCAAAGAAAATATTTCTAACTCTCAAAAATAAATATTTTGATGAGGAAGATGGAAGCAAGAATTGAATATTGATCAATGAAGATATTAGAGTGCAAGAAATGATGTTTAATGAAGGAGGATGAGTGTTTTTATAGGGGGAAAAGAAATAAATCCGTTGGAAGTAGGGATGCCTAATTCGTCACATAAGGCGTCAAAGCCATCTTGATCGAATTCTCCCCCATGATCACTTCTAATGGATGAAATGTGACAATCTTTTTCATTTTGAACCAATTTGATAAATTTCTTAAAAACATTAAGTGCATCATACTTATGAGCAAGAAAAAGTGTCCATGTAAACCTCGAATAGTCATCAACGATAACAAAGCCAAAGTAATTACCTCCTAAACTCATAGTCCTTGAAGGTCCAAAAAGGTCCATGTGCAAAAGTTGTAATGGCCTAGTCGTAGAAACAACGTTCTTTGACTTAAACGAGGCCCTTACTTGCTTCCCCTTTTGACATGCATCACAAATTAGATTCTTCTCAAACTTAAGTTTAGGAACACCAATTACTAAGTCTTTGGAAACCAACTTATTAAGATGGTCCATATTAACGTGAGCTATCCGACGATGCCATAGCCACGTTTCTTCCTCTTTGGTAATGAGGCACTTAGCTAAGATAGACGGGGAATTTTCAAGATCAAACATGTAAATGTTATCTACTCTACTACCACAAAGAATAGTC